GACAATGAAATCTGATAAAAATATCTTTTCCACTTAGCATTGAAAGATAAGTTGAGCGCCTTGACCTTGACCTTGATTAAAACTTGGTCGCTGCACACTTATCTTAACACTGATTCTATTAACCTATTTGCGTCCTTATCTTTTTCGATCAGCTCTCCCCATGATGTGGAGAAATGACCATCGGGAAGTTGGGAGATGCTGTTCAAAATATTTTTGGTAGGACTGATTTTAGAGACTCCAAAAATCGCATCGACTTATAAAAAAGAACAACTTTTAAATGTTCTGTAGCCTGACTTTTAATTTTTTCGTTAACTTCCACCAACAGGAGGAAGAATTTACATTTTCGTTACACTCCGCCTAAAGAAGGTTGACTTTCCCATTCGCATTCGTAACCTGCGCAACAAATGTTCATGTTGATCGAGTTTTATTCTATTTAAGCATATTAAAGCAAATATAATCTTATGTACTTTATCGTTATTTGATCACTTTCATCACAATTACATATTAATTTAAGCTCACTAGCCAATAATTAAAAGTTTGACCACAGAATATGTTAAGCACTTTGGCGGGGAACAGATATCTAGAGGGGTCTTAAAAGTCAGTTTTGCCCTATTTTTCTCTACCTCATGGCTTTCTGGAACCTTTATGTCTCCATAAACCACCAGTTAGTCAAACGATGGAAGCCATATAAGCGTACTCAGTCTAAACTGCTCCTGGTTCATTACTTACTGATTACCAAAATGAAATTCTGGTGATAGTTAGAAGGTGACGAAGCCCTACATAAATTGGTACATCTTTGCGAGATTTCATGTTAGGCACATTAGCGACCACGAGTGAACTATACACACATTTCATCATTCCATTCTGAACGGTTATTGTAGCATTAGCTTACTCTTTGTATTTATCCTACTTTTTTAAGTAGTTTTTCTCCAACACGGTTTTCGAAAATGGACGCACGTTGCATGGTTTCGAGTTCTGTTGTAGAAAAAACTATGGTATGGTCGGAACACCCAACAGGGACTGAAGATGATAGGGAAAAAAGGTGACCATCTGTACGGAAAATTAGATCAAATATATTGATTCTCGAGTGTGTATGATTCTAAGACGTGAGTGCGCTCAGAACACTACAATTATCACGCCCAGTTCCGTACAGGAAAAAGAGGGGCAAGACCAGCATGAGTTGTTTATTGTGTACAGGAACTCAATGGTGGTCGGAATCCCAGACGCGCGGAGGGCCGCTGGCCCTGTGCGCGCGCACGCGTGTCCGTCTGTTAGTTTACTGTGGGTGTAAGTGAATAAACGTCATGCGAGTGTGAGTCACTGGACAATCGATCAAGTACTTGGCCAATAGAAGTCTACGGCACCTGTGATTGGCTGGCCCAGAAGGAGGTAGAGTGGTGGAGTCACGTGCGCTTTGCGGGCTTGGCGCCAGCGCTACAAGTGTGCAAATCAGTACCCTATCCTACAGGCTGATATTTATGATCTCAACTAAGTCGTCGAAATTTACAGGAAGATTTAAGTCACTTGCTATCAAGCAGTACTAAAAACATGCTTGCTGCGGCATGAAACGAAAGTCATAATACTCACCGGCGTTAGCCGGGCGGTAGACGCAAATAACGAACAAAATGTAGTTATTCTTTTAAGCAATTAGGAGCAAACAACTCTCTCCTACTGCGGCGATGGTCTAACGACGGATGTGTAAATGGTAGCTTCAAAATGGTCGAAAATCAGGATCTACAGCAGGGCCATTTTATTAAGCAGCAATCGGTAATTGAAAACGAACATTTTAATGGACCACGCCCTTAATTTCGGAGATAGACTGCCTTCGGGCAAGGAAATGTCATTTGACTTGAACTATTTGTCCTTCCCTTATTTAAAGACGCGCCTTGCCATTGATCCTTCGATCTTCCAGTTCATCCTTGTGCTTATAATCTTCACACGGAAAATGTGTATCACTGCATCCTGATGCTTCATAAACGAGTAAGTAATCGATAATTACAATTTTAAATGCCCACATAAGTTATCAGACGACTTCATCCTTTTGGTACACCTTCGCGCACAGGGCTTGGTGTAATTAAGGTGAACAGGAGGTAGTCAATTATAAGTGACTGTTGTCGCTGGTAAGACCAATTTGACCTAATAGTGACATAAATCATACCATAGGAAGGGTTATTCATGTATCACACGTGTTCCTTTCAAATAAACTGAACCGAAATGGGTTACTTTGTTCGGACTTGCTAATACGCACATTGCCACACTGTCAGGGGCACCGGGAACACTCCTTTAAGTGAGACCAGACACATACTCACTTTAAAGCTCAATTCTTTTTAATTAAGAGATAGACACAGTTCTGAATGCCTACCGGATCGGTATGTGTAAATCTACCATAAAGCTAACGGAAATGGTCAATCGTTTTACAATACTCAACTTCTAAAAATGATTGGTTAACGTGCAACCTTTACTGGACATTTTAAACAAATAAGACCTCGCCTTATAAAGATCCCGATTTTGACTGTCAGAAGTCCGTCTTCTCAGAAGAGGTCAGATAGTACGCATAGATGATTTGTAAATGGCTTTTATTTTTGCGTCTATAATAATTCACCGATATAGTATAACTGTGTTGTTTGTGTATAGAAGCTGCTCGTAGACATAGGTTAAGCTTTTGTTAGCTGGATTGGAGACCTGGATCCACAGTTCTGCAGAATTACGATTTATCTTAGGGTTTCTTATTTCGTTCTGTTTAAACTACACGCATTTAAGGGTTTGTTTTTCCATTCACGGGACTGCTTCTGGATGCCTACACACTATTTATGTTTATCCATGTTATGCTCTCGTTTTCATGATTGCGCTTATCTGAAAACTAGATGGCTTGCAGGTTGCCACAACCACAGAGGACTTTCAAAGTTATATTGTATTGGGTCTTAACCGTTTAATATCTTATTGACTGAAGGAAATAATATGCTTTCTAATCTATTACGAATCATCAGTACCTTTTATCGTCACCAAATCTCTTCTCTAGAAGTGGCACGAAACGACTTCGTTTCTTTATCATCAGCACGTGTCTTCTTAAAGTCATTCTCATGTCAGCATCGTAGGATACCAGCGCTCAGATGGAAAGATAAAGCACACTTAGCAAATAAGGTCGACATATGTAAACTAGAGGGGTTCTCCTCGAGGGTAGCTGCTACCTTGTCTCGGATGGCAAGAGCTCTATGATGTAGTGCCAGGCGATCTGTATAAACATGACTAAAAGCAACTTCATTTTCGCCATCATCGCTCACTTCTGTAAGCCTGCACCTATTTGAATAGTGCCCGTTGTGATATTATTGGGCTCGATGACAACAATCGACGGATAAAATAAAATTCTTTGGAACTAGCACGAATTGTCTTGGTCTTCGCCCACCAAAATCGATTCAAGCCCAACGGACCATTTCTTCTTGCATTGATTACTTTTGGCGAAGGTCGTTACTTATTGCAACAGTCATATTGATATCTTCGGCTGACTGTGTCAGTTTCACTGTGTCAGGTTCAGTGTATCACAAATAATTTCATTTCGTTGCATTCGGCTAAGGACAAACGTCCGACTCATTTTGGAGCTCTATCATCGCTTACTGATGACCACAGAGTCAGGCTTCTCCACGCTCATCCACATTTCCCACTGGCTACTTCTACACCTTCTTGCTCAATGGTCAAGTCCAGGTTACATGAAGGCCTGGTTGATTTCACCTTACGGTTGGCAGGCACGGATCGAGTAATCTTAGCCACCGGGGCAGGTGTAGTAGACCGGTTGTGTTTTCGACCGACGGGAGAGAAAATATCGGAGACTAGTATTTTGGCACCATCGATAAGACGCTTGTAGACTGCGTGAGTCTGCTGATCATGGCTTGCATCGGTGCAGAGAGTTTGTTTAGAGGCAAGTCTGTAGTTTAGTTTTCGCATTTGTGTCAAGTTGGATGAACGAAAAACCACGATCGTCTGTTGCAGTAGAAAGTCGGATTAATGGTAGCACAAAGTATTCACCAACCCAATAATTTAATCGTCTTCCGTGCCGGGAGAGATTTATGTGAAGGCGAAACCAAGAGTGATCATCTTTGTCCCAGAGCCAACATTATCTGGTCCAGTCGAATAGCCTTTGTGCCGGTTTAAAACATCGCAATGCCGACATATTTCATATCGTCGCTATGTTTTGAAGATAAATAATACCCTGTAATACCAAGGAGTCTGCTAAAGCGGGTTGAAAAAGTCCGTTTATCACGCATTTGGCTAGAGTTGACGAGAGAGGACATCCCCGAAGAACTTCTTCCGCACAGACTTTAATCCTTGTTTTGGGATAGTAGATTTTAGTCAGGTGAATCCATTTCGGTTGTGTGCAGTCATGTAGCATAATTGGCCACAGGGAGTTCCAACGCACCTATTGCGGTGTAGAAACTAAATCCGCGAGTAGTTTGTTGG